GAAAGAGACCAGATCTTTGGTTTGTGTGAACTAGCATCGAGCCCTTTGATGCCAATGGAATGATGCTAATTTATGCCAGTTGAGGACTGGCCCCAGATCTATATTCCACACTAAATCAATCAATCAAACAAACCAGCGTGCATGGGGTTAAACCTGGGGCAGTTACTAGCCTGAGGGCCTGATACAGCACTGCACTAGTCTGATCCTATCAGTGGAGGTGCACAAGGCAAAAAGCAGTGAGGCAAAGAGCAGTGCCGTTTTGCTTCAGGCTCTTTGCATATTGGAGGGCTTGAATCTGGAGAGCTGGGGAAAGAACTGAGCCTAGGCAGAGCTGGACACAGGCATGGGCAAACTGGGAGGCTGCCTGGGGCCCGGACAGAAAGGGGGCCCAAAAATGGTCATTTTTTTCTGTTGTCTGATTATTATCTCTGGCGAAAGGGGACCCAATACTAAAAGTTTGCCTGGGGCTGCCAGAAGTCTAGGTATGGTACTGAGCCTCAGGCTAGGTCCTTCAATGTGCTGAGCACAACAGACCTGGCAGAAGGATTTCAGCCTTGCTCAGCATGTCCCACAAACCCTGCTCAAGCCAGCAGAAAGCAAAAGCGGCCTCTGTACAAATGGAAGAAGAGCACCAGTGCCTGGTTATAATTTGAACAGAGCCTGAGTGTAAGCAAATGCAAGCCCAGCTGCATTCAGTGGCTGCCCCACTTGCTTATACTATAACTCACTTGGCCCTAGGTAAGAGATGCTGCATTGCATCAGAGCCATGTCCCAAGAGACACCCTCCCTCCCTCAAGCAGGATCTGAACACAACTTGATAGCATAGCAGCCTGGGCCAGGCCAGGGAGTCTGCCTCAGTCTGGAGATGGCACTCCCTTTTCAGCACCTGTGGGAGTATTAAGAGGGGGAGTGGGAGGATGCTGGAGCATGTGAGTAGACCAGAAGCTTACCCAGCCCTATGCTGATGGCAAAGGGGGTTGTTAGCCTATCTAGTGAGAATGGTCCTGTCTGAGCAGAGCCCTCACGCTACTGAGCACCAAAGTTAGCTTGGGAGAAGGCTTGGACGGAAAGTCAGGGAGAATGCACTCTAGTCACAGGCTCCTGGGTTCATCCTGCCTGACTCCCCCCTCCCATTGCTATGCAGAAGGTTGAAAGTGGGACCCAGGTTCCCTGGGTGGGCTGGGGGTTGTTTAGTCCTAAGCTGCTGTTGTGACAGCCTGGGTGTTGTTCTCCCTAAACTATGTCTAGCCCATAGGCACCAGGGTTATCTGTGGAACGGGTGACTGCCACTGCAAAGCTGCCACTAGGACCTCTTGAAGGATCTTCTCTACACCTTTGCTCACCTTCTCGTTGGTCTTTTCTGAAGCGTCCATCTTCTGCTGGGTGGGAGAAATGCTGACCCATGCTTTTTGGTCCTCATGCTGTGAGGTGTCTCGTCTTTGGTTTGGTTTATGCACTCCAGTGCCAGGGGCTACAAATCACTCTGCTGTTGGGAGGAAGATTTCTGACAAAAGAGCTCATTGCTCCCAGGGACTGGGCCAAAGGGAGCTCCAGATCATGTGTGTACAGATGCATACATGCATGTTCCAGGCAAGGAGGCAAGCCTCCTTCCTCACAGCACTGGAGCGTGAGAACATCAGAAGACTACAAGCCACAGGAAGGAAACAAGAAGAGATACACATTCTTAGGTTATCTAGCTGCAGAGCTAACACTAATAGGAGTCCAGAGATCAGGCGTTGGGTTCTCATTTCAACCAGTCTAATGCAGCTATGTCCTCAAAATCTTAGCGTATGTTTTTACAAGCCTATGACATCTGGAGCCAATCTAAAGAGTGTGGTATAGCTATGTGGATTCCTTGGAAGCCTCATGTATGTGCCTATGCACATGTGTGTATGCAGGATGCCATGAGGGAAGGTATGGGCTGCATACACACATATACACGCACAGACACAAATGATCAATACTGTGAAGCCAGGCTCTGGGCATTCTGTGGAAAGCCCAGTGAAGGAAAAGAGCCCATTGTTCCTCATCTGGAGGACACATGTGGATTGGGGGCTTAGATGGGCATCTGCACTTCATCGTACACATCCTGGCCCTCTATCTCATCGAAGGTCACCACAGCATCATCTGCATCCAGCTGGAAGGGAATGGAGAGATGGTGAGGGTTGTTCTGGGATGACAGGGGCAGCTGAGGGAACTAGGCTGCTTGGGGCTATTTTTTGCCCCTCTCTGCAGGGCCGTTGTCTCCCTCAGGTAGGGCAGTGAGACACCCCCTCCAGATGTTGGCTAGTTTGAGTAGAAGATCAAGTGTTGTCCTAAAAGGAGGGTTGGGAATAGGCCGTTCCATCTCTGAGGTGGCCCCCTTTCTGCCACCTTTCCCCCATACCTTGCCATGGTGTAGGGTCATAGATGCATAGAGAAGTAAGGCAGGAAGGGACCTCTGGAGGTCATTTAGTCCCACCCCTACCAGAAGCAGGATCATCCCTATCCAAACCATCCCATACAAATCCATTGATTAACCTATTACTAAAACTACACAGTCAGCCCTGACACAACCACAAGGAATAATACCCTAACCTGCCACAGGTAAAGGTAGGGGGATGACCATGGCCAAAGTCCTGCTACTGCAAGGGTTGGTAAAATATACTTACACACTTGAGTTCAATATCCTGGAAGATCCTGGGGAGCAGGAAGCGACGCAGAGGCACAGTCAGGATGAGGACAAAGGGCAAGGCCAGGGAGCCCTTGCTGGACTTCACTGCCCACAGGACAGCCAGGCATATGATCTGGCTGAAGGTGAACAAGTGCATCCGCCAGGTCTTTACCTGTAAGACATAAGGAGGGAGAGAGTCAGGGCCACCCTGATGGTGTCTGCCTATCCTGCTGCCCCAAGACAGCCTCTTGTGGGTATATGCTTCATGGTGTAGAGCTGCAGCCAGCCTGGTGCCCCAGACCAAAGAAGCCTTGAGAGTGCATATACCCAGTGCCCCCCTCTCCCCTGCTTTTGCTGCAGATCCTTGAGTTCTGCCATAGAGAGGAGCAGGAGGTCTGTCAGCTACTCCCCAAGCCTGAGCTCTGTGCAGGAGCTGGGCTGCTCTGCGGCATCTCTAGCCTGGGCCTGGAGAAAGGCTAGAGAGAGGGCCTGTGAGGGACAGATCCAGGCAGTGGCACTCCATGCCATAACTACCCTCCTGGCAGTACCCTTACCAGGCCCCAAGAAGGCAAGGATGGCCTTTTCTCTTTCAGGGGATGTGATAGGGAGAAGCCTTGTCACTGCTCTGTGTTGGGTCCCAGCTGCCTCAGGCCTGGATCTGCCTGAGCACTGCTCCCACAATATTAGACTTTGGTGTGAGCATGGCAGGACAGGTCAGCCACACCATGGAAAAGCAAAGAGGCTGGCAGATGTCTGCCCATCACACTCAGGACCTCCCCACCCATCAGGCCCTTTGGAGAGTGTGTTGGGCGCTATGGCCCGTACTAGTCCAGGACTGAGAGTCACAATCCCTGAGGAGCATGTGCTCAGTCTGCCATGGTACAGAGAGGCTAATAGGGGCCACTTAGCCCTGAGACCCTTCTGGGAGATTTCCCCATAACCACATAGAAGGCACCTCTGTGTTACATCCAGTGGTGAGCTCTGTGTTGGAGAGGGCAGGGTTTTGGGGTGTCCTCCCCTCTTCTTGCACACACAGCACCTGAAAGTGCCTATCTAGGTTCAATCAAGGGAAACTCAGCCAGGGCAAGGAGGGGGCAGTGCCCTCACCCTTTTGGCATAGGGCTCATCTGGGTGGTACTTGGGTGGCTTCAGAAATAGCAGAATGCGGTCGAAGAGCTGGATCCCATACAGGGAGGTCACCCCCATGTAGAGGAATATCCCGAAGAGCACAGCCAGTGGGATCAGTTTCAGGATGGGCTCCAAGAAGATGGAGACACCTGCAGGGCAATAACAAGAGGCAACCATGTGAAAACAGAGTGGCCTTGACCCAGCATCCTGGCTGGAGGGCTGGGTTGGGCAAGAAGGACAGCAGCTTGGAGGCCAGAGCCTACAGATCCCCAGCATTACACTGCAGACTGCGGGGTTTTCAACAGTCCCATTTCTCCTGGTGAAAGGTCCCAGCTGACTTCTGCTTAGCCACAAAGCAGGCAGCCCTCCTACACACTTTCCCTGTCCTCTCCTGCTTAGAAAGTTGTCTCCATAGCCAGCCCATCCATGGCTGCTTGTTAAGAGAAAGGCCATCAGTGAATGTAACTCTGGGAACACAAAGCCTGGTTTTGCACAAAGGCCTATTTGAAATCAGTTGAGTAGGCACTACTACTGAACACACTGCTTTCACAGGCTGGATTTGGATTAGTGATCCCCGCACCTCTCCCCATAACTTCACTGCCCCTTGAGGAGAAGTTCACCCTAAGGAAGGGGTAGGCAATTATTTTGGCTGGAGGGCCACTTAGGGAGTTTTAGTGAGCTGTTGCAGGCCAAGTCAGTACACCCCCTTCTCCTCCCTCCACTTTCACAGTTCACCAAAAATCCCTAAGTGGCTCTCACACATGGCCAGGTGGCTGGAATGGGGCTGCAGGCAGGCAGGCAGGGAGCTGCATCCAGGGGCAGGATCAGCAGGTGGGGCCAGGACCAGGGCTGGGATCTGGACTACAGAGTGAGGACAGCACGGGCCAGGGCATAGTCGTGATCTGCTCCCTGCATGCCCCTGCAACTGCCACCAGTTCTGCAGGCAGAGGCATGCAGAGAGTGGATTGCAGCTTTGTCCCAGGGCCCAGGCCTGCACTGTCACTGTTCAGAGATCCTGGGGGCTCCATGGAGACTGGCCAGGACCCATGTGGGCAGGGTATGCAGCCAGGCAGATGGGATGGGGATGCAGGCAGGGATGGACAGGTGGCTGGGACCAAGATCATGGTGCAGTGACAGCTCAGGACTGGGGCTAGGGCCAGAGCCTGGGGCAGAGCCATGATCTGCTCCCCACATACCGCTGCCCACAGAATTGGTGCCTGTTGTAGGGCAGTGTGGGCAGTGGATCGTGGCTCTGCCCCAGGCCCCAGCCTTGCATTGACACCACCCCATGATCCTGATCCCAGCCCTGTGTGCCCATCCCACTCCCAGACATGGATCCTCTCCCGCCCGCATCTCTATCTCAGCTGCCTGGCCAGGCACCCTGCCCACACAGTCTCACCCCTGGTGGTGGGTGTGGGGTAGACAGACCAGGGTGACCAGGTAGCAGGGCTGGGTCCAGCACCGGCAGCCAAAAGGAGCTGGTACAGGAGCTGCTGAGAAATGGAGTCCAGCCACTGTGCTGCCCTACCACCACTGCATGCTCAAGGGCAGCAGGGCTGGCTGCACGTGCCGCAGCCCATGCTGACCCCCATGGCTGGGCCAGGCAGCCCAGACAAAATACCTTGGTGAGTTGGATCTGGACCATGGGTCGGATTTTGCCCACCCCTGCCCTAAAGCCTTTCTTAGGATGTGGCTTCTGGGACTGTACCATCATGAGATCATGGGTAGGACTCACCTACAAGAATGGCTACCAGGAGCCCAGTGATCCTCTGCTCCTTGACCTCCTGGACTTGGACCTTCTCCCCTGGATAAGTGCTCTTGGTCATCACAGTCAGGGCATTGGCATGAGTGATGGTCCTCACTGTAGTGGCAGAGAGCCAGGGCATACCAAAGAGTGGTACTATGCCTCCCATGCCAACAATCAGGAGCAGGTCCAGGTGGAAACCCGAACCCTTCACCAGCTTCCTCTCGGGCTTGCTCACAATCAACCTGGGGGAGGCAGGCAAGGATGAAACAGCTTCATGTAGTGTCCAGGAAATGACTTGTATCCCTCCTTCCATCCAGCCAGTTGCCCTGTTCTGATGGCTTCAGAGCAGGGCAATGTCAATAGAAGGCAGCCCTTCCATGGCTCAGCCCTGCAGTGTCCACAGCCCCATGAACTTGACAGCTCCACACATTCCCACCCCTCCATCTCTTCCCCCCTTCCTTATTTTTATCCCCTCCTGCATTCCTTTCCATCTGCTTTAGCCTGCCCCCCAGCTGGGCTTCTGTTACCCTTTTTCTCAGCTCTCTCCTACAATTGCCAGACCCCTCTCTCCCTTCTTCTACACCCCACCCCAAGCCTCCACTTCTCTCTTTCTCTCCTGTGCTCTCCTTACGTTGTGATTTGTGTCTCCAGGAAAATCAGGATGAAGACCAGGAGAGCAGGGACAGAAGCAGCAAACATCATCCAGATTGGGAAATCACGTTGTGGTCCCAGTGGATGAATAATCCAGCCCTGATCACTGGAATTGGAGCTCTGTAAGTTTTTAGGAACACTCAGTTTCTGGAAGAGAGAAGAGACTGAGAGTGAATGGTCCAATCAGCTGGGACTTGATTTGTGCATTGGCAGAGGGCAAGGACTGGGCATATGAAAAAGGGGCTAAACACAGAAAGGGTGCGCCAGGGGAGTGAAGAGAGGCCAGCAGCTTGGGGTACCCAGAGCTAGGATCCTTTGTCCTTCTGTAGGGATATGAAGATGTTCATTTATGATCCCCCTCCCATAAACCACACCCAAGAAAGTTGCCAAGCTGTTATACACAAAAATGTGGTGCAGTGCAGTGAAGCAACTCACCTATGGTCCATCCAACTGTATGGAAAGTTGGATGCAGACCTGGGAATAGAATAGTCCCTGCTCTCCTCACTGGGCAATCCTGCCTTCCCAGGCACAGGGCAGAACCCAGGACTCTAGCTGCCAGTCTCCTCTAATCATTAGAATAGGACCAGGAATTGGTGCTCGGCATGTTTGAACCCTGCCAGTCCCAGTTCTTACCACTAGACCAGGCTCTTCACAGGACCAGAACCCAGGAGTCCTGATGCCCATTCCCTCCTCTGTTCAATAGATTGCACACCCTCTAAGGTCAGTGACATTTGAAAATTTTGGGATGTAGAGGTGAGAAGAGTGCCGACCCTCACACAGGAGCAGAGCACTGCAGCCCCGTCCACAAGCATGCACTTGTGCATCAATCCCAAGCTCCTTTGCTCTGCTCACTTACCTGCGTGTACGTGCCCTCAATGAAGAAGTCTATCAACACCATGGTGAAAATGGCAATGGGCACTCCGAAGTCTCCAATCACACGCCGGATCTACAGAGATACAACAGCATGTCATTCAAACAGCATACTCGTCATCATCACCAATGGAGAGGTGGAAATTGCATATGGAAGTCTTTTGCCTCTAGGGGGTGCCATATCCAAATAGTCTGAGGATGGGACATGGAAGGATGAAGCCATTCCCCCTTGGGCAACAAGGTTCTGGTATAGGGCATCAGTAACCTTCCAAGAGTCTCTGCTTCTCTAGTGGCTGCTGCGCAATCCTGGGGGAGATGGTGCCAGTCCAGATCTCAGTCCCCTTCCCAGCAGGCAGGAGCCTGTATTCGTAAACCAACATCCGGTGGGCTTCCATGTTCGCTTCAGAAATGGTGAGAGCTGAATGGGACCTGGGCAAGGACTCAGGGGAGATGGGTTCAAACTGGAACCCTAGAGCTCACCATGGAAATCACACCAGAGGCTGAAGGAAGGTGGCCTCCTCACTCTGCCAGCCAAGGGTGCCTGCCTGGGATGCCCTCAGGAGGGCCCTGGCATGACAGCAAGGAGCACAGCCTCACCCTGTTTGCCCAGTGGCATCACTGCAGCAGGGAGTGACAGGAAGATTTCAGTGCTTTGAGTATCACAGTTGGCCCCAGAGGGCTGTACCCACCTGCAGGGCCCCATGGGTGGTGGGCTCACCTTGCCTGGCAAGAAGCTGCTATTCTTGAATTTGCGCAGGAAGTAGGCAATGAAGAAGGTGCCAGCCATGAGGAGCAGGGAGAGCAGAGCTGTGTTGGGCTGTAGGATGCGTTTGGAGTTTATAGAACTGGTCTTGTTGTAACTCTCTCTCAAAGGGTGTTCCCTGAAAATCTGGGGAGAGAGCAGATATCAGACAGGCAGGACAGAGAGGGGCTGTGATTTAATCTAGCTAGCTGACCCTCTTCCCTGCTCAGCAAGGCTGAGAGGAAAGGCAAAGGGTTAAATACAGGTGTTTGGAGTGACAGTGCCCCCCATGGCTGGGCTAAGTCCATCCCAGAGTGTACTCCTCAGGGGAACAGACATAGGCAGATGTTGCTTAGGAACTTCCCCATACAAGCAATAGTCCTGGTGGCAGGTGCTGCCCCACAGCTTATGCCCCCCACCCCCAACCCCTCCATAGGTGGCTGCCTCAAGATTTTGCCCCACCTCTCTGAAAATCCCTCTCTGCTGGTGCCGCCTATGAGACACTGTTCCTTTGCGAGGGAATGCTACCCTCCCTCCCTTGGGAACATCCCAGGGAAGGGGACCCCCAGGCCCCAGCATCTGTGGAACATCTAGGACGGGGAGGGGGCTGAGAAGGGGCAGGAGTGGGCTGATTTCAGAGGCAGGTGGAGAGGACTGGCCCAGTCCTGGGGAGTCAGACTGGCTTGAGCAATGAGGGGAATTGAAATCCAAAAGGAAGGGAGAGGAAGCAAGGGGAAAGAGTCCCAGCTCTCATTGTCCCCATGAGAAGGAGATGGGAGGAAAGGGGAGGCCATCAACACCTGGAGCAGGGAGCACAGGTGGCAATGGGGCTGTGAACAGAGAGGGGGCATGGATGGGCCTTCCAGTTGCCAAACCCTCCCACTGTTCCTCCACTTTGTGGGCTGTCCTCCCACTCCTAAAAGGATGTCCATCACACAGACCAGGATAGGCAAAAGAGCCAAGAGACAAGCACAGGCTGGGCCCTGCTAGGTTTATTGCTGCCACTGGGACCCCATGATATCCCCCCAGTAAAGATTTGAGAGCAAGCTGAGCTCTCTGGCCAGGCCTGTCACCCTGTTCTGGCCAGGCCTGTCACCCTGCTCACCCTGCCTGTCACCCAGGCCTGTCACCCTGCCCTTCTCTGGGTTTCATGCTTGTATCAGTGGCCTCTCCTGGACACCGCCTGTATTTACCCAGCAACCAAAGGCTGGATTTGATTTGAGAGAGGACACTGGATTGACTGGGTGGGATTTTCCAAACATGCCTGGAGGAGTCAGGCCCCAAATCATGCTGCAAACTTCCCTGGGCCACCTGAAAATCCCAATTCTGACATACAGAACCTGGAGTTGCTAGGACATGAGGTGACTGGCTCTATTGCTTGGGCCAGTTACTGGGCACCCTAAGTGCCTGGAGAATGGGGCACAGAGGGTGGCCTGCCTTGTCCTACTGTGGAGCTTCTGAGCTGTGGAATGCACACGTGTGATTTCTTTGCTTCTTGGCCTTTTGGCTAAGATCAAGCGGTGGCATCCGAATCCCAAGGCTTCCGGGCTTGGGTCTGCATATAAGATGCCTGCCAATGGATTTGGGAGCATTGTAAATCCCAGGGTGAGAGACTGGGATGGAGGATGCTCACTAGTTGTAGCATCATACATGGTGTTTAGAATAATTGAATTCTGTCTGCTTAATCGATATGGGTTTTTGAACCATTGAGCTCTGCTCAACTGATATGATTTGGAACTGATTTGGCTGATTTGACCTGGAATGCAAAATATATTAAGAAAAAAAAAGTGTCTTTGCATCTTGGGCTCACCCGTCCCTGCATGTCTCTTACTGTAGTGCTGGTCTGGCAGGAGCCAGCCTACTGGGGTGTGGGTGGGTCATGGGAACGTGGGGGGAATGTCAGCGACTGGCAGCTTGGGAGGAAGTGAAAGGAGTGTTATTTTTAGGATCAATATCCTCCTTGTGCCTTTTGAAACAAAGGAGCAGTTGACTGCTATGTGTGCATCCATCTGTGTGTGTGTGTGCACGCGCGTTCGTGTGAGCGCGTATGTGCACATGTGTGCGCATGCATGCATATGTGCATATGTGTTGTGTGGTCCCATGTGTTTTGTGTGTATGTAGCTGTGCCTCTCTGAGTATCTGGAACTTGTGGGTGACTTGCATATTTCTCTGTGTGCATGTGTGTATGTGCCTCTGTGTGTGTGAACTTGCTTAGGTTATTTGCATATTTCTGTGTGCAGGCATATGTATACATATATGTATGTATGCTTGCTTGAGTGTCTTGCATATTTCTGTGTGTGTATGTGCCTCTGTGTGTGTATGGTTGCTTGTGTGACTTGTATATTTCTCTGTATGTGAGTGCATGTGTATGAGTGTTGATGGGGTGACTTGGCTGTTCCTTTGTGTGGGTGTGATTTTTCTTTGTGTCTATATATGCAAATCTGAAAAGACCTTCCTTTCTGGGACTCAGACTCCAGTGGTATACATCCCCAGGAGTGACAACCACCAGAAACTCACCCTTTTTCTTTTCATGTTTCCCACCATCACCCCATCTGCCTGAACAGGCCAGAATCTTAGCCCCATCAGCAACTCAGAATCAGCAAAATGCCTGAAAATGTGCTGCACAGGGATTGGGAGGGTCCTAGATATTCAAGCATTGGGTGTTCACTGGGTCCCCATTAGCACCTGGGCAAGGACTGAGATCTCCCACAACATAAATTGGAGACTGAGGCTAGGATTTACACATATCCACTGGAAACAGCCACCCTGGATAAAGACAAGACACAGAATGGGGAATGCCTGAGGAGGGAAAGTGTTGTATAGAATTGGCTCCATCTCCATCTCTCCCCAGTTCTTCTCTTTTTCTGTCTCTCCTTTCTGTTTCTATGGAAACTGTGTTTTTGTGATCTCACTTCCTGTGACTAAACTATTTTTCTTATTTTTTTTACAGGTCAGTAAAATGTCAGGGAGCTGCTGGATTGCACACAGAGCTTGCTGAGCCTGCAGTGTGGAGTGGTCCAAATTCGAAGACCCCTTAATGTGTGGGGGGTCATGAATTAACTGTAATCAGGTAACATAGGTTTAAATATGATGTATATGTCTATACAGTGTTGTAAAGCATGCCTGTTATACCACTTACACATTTGAAGAAAATGCATTATTTTCTTAGTTTAGATAAATACACACGCCACATACTAATGCCAGCCAACTGCATGCAGCCTCCAAATTTCACCCTACCATACATCTGTATGTCACACTTATAGGCAATGTAGACACAATATGCCATCTGCATGCCCATTATACATATGCGTTTTGCACACACATGCACACACTCTACAAACATGCTACACATACACATCCACACAATCATATTCAGGACCGTTATAGATCATGATTTACACATGCAATCCTTTCATTTTCACACAAACAAGTGCACCCAAACTCAATACACATCATGAGTAACCATGCCCAGCAACATAGCCGTGCACACACAGCTACATTGTCTTTACACAATCATGTGCTCACACATGTAGGTATCTCCATCCAGAATCAAACACATGCAACTGTACACACTCCCTCTATCTCCTATATGCAAAGTTACACACTCAACCACATGCATGTGCAAAACACATAAACACCTGACATCACATATCACTGCTGCACAAGCCCATTCCTACCCATATGGACACTCCCACACCTGAACTAAATACACATGTCCTGTTGCAAGTGTAATCCCAACTTCATACATAGGCACATGCGTGTGCAATGCATGCAACCATACCCTCAGCCCCCTACCCTGCACACACGCATACACTATTGCAAGCATATTTTCTTATGATCTCCCGCATGCATTTGCACTCCACACACACCAACACAAATAGCTAAGAGGAAGAACTGTGCCTAGCTCTGGGAGAGGATCTGGAAGGAAAAGACAGCCGCACTCTGCAGACCAGCCTGCCATCAGACCAGAGAAAGACACTGTGGACAAACAGACAACGGGACTCAATGCCTCAGTGACATATGTAGCACCACCCTGGAAGATCACGCAACTAGTGCGAGGCCTGTCACCTTGGCAACCTTGGGCTAGCTTGCCATGGCAATTACACCTCATTGAACTGAACTGAAGAGCAGTCTTCATGCTCGGCCCCCATCCTGGTTACCTTGACAAGCTTGGAGAAGGTCTCAAAGATGAAGATGAAGGAGATGAGGAAGGAGAAGATCTCCTGGGTGTAACGTGAGATGTAGCGCACCAGGATGCTGCCCTCACAAGCTACCATCACCACCACCAGGATGATAAGCCAGAAGCCGATCCAAACGCGGCCTACGGTGTACGGCAGACTTTGGGTCTTACAGAACTGTGGGTGAGAGAGGGAGGTGAGCCTCTCGTGATCCATCCCTGCCCCACACACAGCTCCCTCAGCTGTCACTTGTGGAGCTGGAGTGTGAGCAAATGATGGGACCCAGACCCAGCAAACACTCCTTAGTGAGCCCCAATACATCTTTTCCCCCTGCATCCAGTCTGGTACCCTGCAATTCCTCCTGGAAAAGAACCCTGGTTTGTCTTCCTTCCCAACGGGAGGGGATGCTGTGACCCAGCGCAGGTAGGCTCCTGCCTGGCACCATGGCAAAGGGCAGAACTTTGCTGTCTCACATACATGGGCTCGTGGCTCAGGTGGCTGGATGAAAGGTGTCAAGGGGTGCTGTGTCAGCACAGGCCTAACAGAGGGAGAGGACAGTGGCTCCTGTTGGTGGGGATATCTCTATGCCCTGGGAGGATGAGACAATGCCCAGGCAGGAAGACCTGGTGCAAAGCTGGGAGATGGAAACCACAGAGCTCCCACTCCCTGAGTCCTGGTTTCCTGTAGAGTCTCTGCCCCCAAGAATACACCATGAAAATAGCATTTTTTCTGGCAGTGAGACCTCCTGGTGGGAAAAGCGAGGCTTTCCTTACCCTCCTGTGGAAACGGTCAAGGTGCCATTTGTGTTGGGTTGAGGCTTATGCAATGGTAGAGGCAGAGTCACCTACCTGATAAAAAGCTTCTTCAAAGACCAGCAGAGGACCTGAGAAGCCAATCACCAACAGGGGCTGGGCACCAAGGAGGCAGAAAATAAAGCTCTGCACAGCCGTGGAGATCAGGACTCCTGGGACATTTATTTCAGAATTTGTTTTCTCATCTGGAAACAAAAGCACTGGTCAGCAGGACGGGGCAGGGCCCCTATGAGCCTGGTGTCATGTTGACCCACCATAGAGTACCCTTTGGAGGGGCCTGGCACCGCCTTATGGTGCCCACCTCACCCAGATCCTGGAGAAGCCCACTGGGACCCAGAGTTTCCCAGGGGATAGGGTCCTCAGATATTCAGACTCACTGGGGTGTCTGCACAGAAGGGGAAAGAGAAGAAAGGTGCCTGTGGGCAGCCTACAGTCAAACTTACCCAGCAGGCCCCCAAAGGTGATAGCAGGCGAGAGTGCAGCAAAGTAAATGAAAATAGCAGCAGCCAGACACTGTGGGCTGAGGGCATCCTTGATATCGCTGAGGTATTTGGGGTAGCGGCGCTTGATGTCATTCACCAGGCCCCCAAACGGCCGGCCAGTCCGAATCAGGAGATTTTTGTCATCAGTGAGGCCCTTGGCTTTGAGGTCTATATCTGCAGGGAGACAAGAGCATCAGTGGCCAGGCTGGAGTGGGCAGGGGTAGGTGGTAATGTTAGGAGAGTTCGGCCTTAAAAGTATTTATGGGTCAGTCACCCACAAAGATGAGTATTAGATAGGGTGACCTTCTCCAGAGCAGGGAATCCCCCTCTGGCCAGGGCTGAGGGGGATTTCAGTCCTTGTCTCCATTCCAAATAGCTCCTGGACTGAAGGGAGGGATCCAGAGGGATTACCAAGGGATCCAGAGTGGACAGATGGGCAGAAGTCCCAGGAGTAGCTGCAGGGTTCACAGTAAGCGCTATTACAGTCATTTGCCATGAGGTGGCAGGGGAGCTGGTAATAACCTATTTGCCTTTAGCAAATGGATAACATAGGGCAATAGTGGACACTCCAATGCCTGAGTGGTGTAACTTCCACCTGTGTAGTTTAACCCCTTGACTTCTCCTGGGGTAATTTTACACTGGAGTCAAGTAAGTTACAGGGCTGCATACTGTGTGTCTATTCTTTTACCTGTACCCGTATTAAGGCTGCTTATACCACAGTAAATGTCTCTCAAGTCCAAGTTCCTTGACTAGCAGCGGGGCTCAAGTTCCCATATTCACTCATGGTAAGGCTCCCCCACCAAGCCTCCAAACTGGACCCGGAGGAGCCAACCCCATCTCGGGGAGGCAAGAGAATGCAGTGCTCATGCCTGCTCAGCCTTGGGCTTCTTACTCTGCTCCTCTATTGGCCTTGCTCCCATAGCACTACACTGGGGGGAATGAGGTAAAGGTCCCCCTCAGCCTCAGCACCCACCTACAGCCCTACCAAGGGAGTCCTGCCATGACCTGGCAGGGACAGAGCAGGAAGGTTTCAGCCCCTAGAGCGCCCTCCACTGTCCTACTCCAGCAAGGAGGGAGCAAGGCCTTGGGAGTTAACCTCACAAAGATTTCTCCAGAGCCCACATGTACCCCCCAGCTGTGCCGTACCCACGTCCTTTTCAATCTCCAGCTCTGGCTTCTTCTCCACTGGCAGGTACCTCTTCTTCAGCAGTTCCCTCTGCAGAGGCACCAGATCCTTAAGAAGTTGCTCGTTCTGGATCTCAGAGGGTGGCAGGACAATGCTGCACTGCAGGAACTCCTCCACTCCCTTTATCAGGTCCTGGCGCTCCTGTGCCAGGTAGGCGTCCCGACGAAACACCTGATGGGGAAGGGCACATGTCAGGAGGGCACTGAGACAGTGGATGGGGGCACTGACACACAAGATGTCACATCATGAGTGCTGGATAGTCTGCCAGGACCTGAGGGGGCTGCACCTACCTGGGTCATTACACCCGCCCCCTTCCTAGGGCCCTGATCCAAAACTTAGTGAAGCTGATAGAAAAACCCCCACTGACTCCACTAAGCTTTGGGTCAGACCCTTAGAATCTGGCTGGAAGAGACAGGAGACAGGGCTTTCCCCCTTTCCCCAGCTCTGCAGGGTTCTCCCTCCCTTCAGTCCACTTCACTCTGCAGCTTCTCCAATAGCAGGGAAGCTGCCATCCTTCACATGTGTGTGAAACTGTGGGCTCCAGAGCCATGCCATACTGAAGAGATGGATGGTGGGTGTAGGGCAGTGATATCCCATTCTTTGTGGAGATGAGGGTGCTTATCTGGGGCTAGCGGGGGAAGGAACTTACTGCCAGGGGTACTCTGGCCCCACATACCATTTCAGACATCATGGTGGAGATAGCCCGCCCAATTTCATGGTAGCTGGTATGTGGGGATTCAGGCCCCAGCACCATGAAGAGGAACCTCACAGGGAGAGGCACTTCCAAGGCTGAGTCCAGTTCCACAGCTTCCTTGAGGCGTACAAAGGCCAAGGTGGGGTGGTCTAGGAAGGTGGCACATCCTGGAGAGAGGATGGGATGGGAGGGGGCATCACTGGCAGGGCTCAGCATGGAGGCAGAGGCAGAAGTGGCTGGCAGGCAGGACAGATGCCAAGAAGTGGCACAAGGCTGAGGAGAGCCGGGGAGGGAGCGAAATGGATAAGCAAAAGCAGCATGACAAGGAACAAGGGAAGAGAGAGAGAGACAGAGCGAAGTGAACAAGTTGGCCACTCAGGTCTACCAAGCCAGACATTCAAGCAAAACAGTGTTTTTGCTGGGCACAAGCAGAGCTGCCCAGATGCACAAGACAGTGAAAGCCAGAGCATGAATCTCACTCCCTGCTCCACCCACTCCAGGGCAGCACATGCCGTCTGCTGAAAATGGCACTCCTCTTCTCCAGCTCTGCCTGGCTTTGGCAGGCCCAGGTACAGAGCTCCAAGCCATTCTATTCCAGAGCAGCCTTCTCTCAGGTGGCCTCCACTGTCATCTCAACCACCCCCATGGCAGGGAGGATGAAAGGTAAGAGGCAGCCAGTGCTGTGCTGGACCCTGCCCCCAAGGGACTCTCACTCACCCACAAGAACTAATGTGGCCTCAGCATCCTCTGGGATCCCCTCCTGGAGCTGCCTCCTGTGATTGTCTCCACTGGCAGATGTGCTGGGCTCTTCCTGTGTGGGAGCAATTTCAGGGGCTCAGAGAGTTTTCGGATCACTTTGATCCACCTCCCAGCTCTGTCCCTGATGCCTTCAGCAATCATTGAGGACATTGGCAACAGCAGGATGTGTTGACTACAGCCCTTCATCCCGTGAAAGCTTTCCCTCCCTGCCCCATAGAAAGATGGTTCTCCTGAATGAGGGTCCCACCCTGAGAAGACAAGCTAGAAAGGCAGAACCCCTCTCAGTCTTACCCTGTCCAGGAACAGAGCAAGAATGGAGATTGGGAGGACTTTGGGATAGGAGCCACCTTCTTGTTCTGCATTTGTACAGGCTGTACTTCACACCCTGGAGCTCATGGGGGGCTATCACAGTGCAAATATAACAAATCAAAGGTAGCTTTGTGTGGGCAGAATGGCACCCAGCCTGCTCCCCTCATCATGGAGAGCCATTGGGGCAGCCTCCTAGGATACAGGCATGTCACTGACAGCAGTTCTCTCAATAGGGCTGCTCTTCTCAGCAGTTCCTGTTATACAGACCCTATCCTCGCCATGCCCCTGGCAATCATGCCCAGCAGAGCTAACACCAGGGCTGAGAGTGATCCTTTGAGATAGCCTTACTCCAGAAAGTGCAGTCAATGCCTGCAGAAGTGGACATTGTAGGATCCTGAAGATTTCAGGCTGGAGGTGCACAATAGCCTTGGTTCTTCAGGGTGGTGTATGTGTGTGTGTATGTGTGTGTATTTATACCCTCACAAGCAACTCTCCCTGTATTCTCCCACCCTGTCAGAGTCAAGCCAGTGCTTGTGACTTTCTTGCCTGTTCTGGGATGGTGAATGTCTCCATCTCAATCTGCTCTTGTTTTTGCATTAGGGGTTGAGATGGCTCAATGTCCTTTGAGCCAGGTCGCTGCAGTTGGCCTGGGGATAGGGTCCTTAGAGATTCAGACTCACTGGGGTGTCTGCACAGAAGGGGAAAGAAAAAAGGCATTACTGCTCTGGCAGATGAGGATATTTATTCCCCTCCTATGCCATAATCAAACAATCAATCAATCAATCAATCAATCAATCAAATAATAGTAATAATGGTAATGATGTGTTTTGTTGCCAAAAAACCCCCAGCACTTTGCAAATATCTTTCAAGGTCTGGCCCCAAAGGATTTGCTTCCCCTCAGCAATGCAGCCACTTCAGGGATGGGACATGGTGGTGACACTGCAGTGCAGCAAAGAAAGCAGCAGAAGTCCATGGCAGCCAGGGGATAAAGTGGTTAAGCAAGGCCCAACCCTCCATCTCACACCCTGCATTGCTGTTGGCATCAATGCAAATGGGAATGTGGATGTTTCACCCTGCATGGGGGTCAGTGCCCCTCACCTCCCCAGCTTCACAGCTGACAGAATGGACTGATTGAGATTGGAACAAGCTGGATGCCAGAGTTCAATGTCCCCCTATCCTAAGTCATGCTCTTCCCAGCCCCACTGCCAAGAGGTCCAGGCTGAAGCACAGATCCCAATGTCCTCTCTAGAGAACTCTGGGCGGCAGTAGCCCCAGTACCTGCGCTTGAGAAGCAGGGCTCTCAGGACCTCCTCCCTGTCCTGGAGCTTCAGCCGACCTTCATAGATCATTTGGTCTATCAGCTTGTTGGTAATGCCTGCCAGGCTCCTCTCATCCAGGTCAAGGAGGATGGTACCTGGGCAAGATGGGGAGAGGTTCCTGGGACTGGTCTATGACTGCCTCTCATGACACCCACACCCTCCAGCACCCTGAGATACCCCTCTCTTGCTTCATTCCTTTTCTCTGACTCTGCTCCTATGTCCCTCTGCTTTGTGGGCAAGCGTCCACACTGCCATGCCCTGGGACTGTGGTGCTGTTGCCATTTTGCCCTGGTAGCACTATGCCCTGATCATGCTGGGACAGGGAGCCAGAGCACTGAGCTCTCTGTATCTCTCCTCCTGGGGCTCTGTTTTCTTCTTTCACCCCATGTTCTCCCTTTTTCCATCCCACTCCTCTCACTCTCTCTCATAGGTCTCAGACACACCAAGCCATTACATCCCTTGGCCTTTGTACCTGCAAGACATTAAACCATGCTGGTCCTACTACAGGGCAACCCTGGACTGACGAGGGTAGGAAGTTTCTGGATTATTCCAGAGTCATCCATGATGGGAGACTGCATTTGCCTTGGATACAGGTGGTACTGGCTCCTGCTGGAGATGGGTCTTGCTAATGGTATGACTGGATGCAGTATTACTTTCAAAGAGCCAAATTCCCTGCTGGCATAAGCGGCAAAAGGACAGACCACTGCTTGTTGACTCCAGTTGTAACTATTCCTTGGATGGAGCCATAGATTTGGCTTGTGCTCCTTCAGCCATGCCGGCTACACACTATCTCTCCTGGCCTGGTTTCTGATCCCCTATTCCTCTCCTGACGGATGGCTCCCTCACTGTCCCTGGACTCCCCTCCCTTCCCAGCCCTGTTGCATCTCACCTTTCTTGAAGGCCCTGTGCACCTCCAGCAGGCTGTGGAAGGTCAAGAATGAGAGATGCGGCCTCCCCCATTGTCTTTCCTCCTTAAAGTCCTCCTCCAGCTTGATCCAATGGCCAGCCTCCATCCAGCACAGCTCCTTGTTTCTGTCCATGACCAGTTCTTGCAACTCCACATATGCCTGGGAGAAGAGAGGATGGGATACAGCCATTAGGAAACAGGACTAGGTTCCCTGGGGTGGGCTGCCAAAGCAGTGGCAATAGTTTCTAGTGTAGTGATGCCTGCCTGAGATTTTGGAGACCCTAAAACAACCATTCTGAGAAGTGGGGAGGTGCTGCTTTCTGCCTCCCAGTAAGGAGCTGAGTCTCTGCCAAATTGAGAAGCCACTCAAAGGAGACCATGCATGTGTTCAACAAGTGAACACATGTTCTGGGAGCTCTTCAGGCAGGGTTCAGGTGTCCCATTCCCCTTGCAGGGGTGTAGGTTGTAGCTGTGAACTCAGCCCCCTTTTGGGGGGCTTTACCGAGACCTACACATGTTACCACTCCCCATGGCCTGGCCTGCCCTTCAGAAAGGAGGCTGGAAAGGAATGAAGTGAAAGAGGGGTAGCTCAGGGTACTGGAGGGTGTGGTTGTCATGGAAGGCAGTCACAGAATAGCCCCAGGGACCTCTCCCCATCGTACCTAGGTACCAATGTGTCCCACACCCCCCTTCCCTGCCTAGCCTGTCTGAGGGGCTACCTTCCCTGGAGCAGCTCTCCTGTGCATCAGCTAAAATGAGCAACACACATGGCTGCCAGCACTGTTGAGCACTGCAGCCTGGTGCAGATCTGGGATCCCCCCTGCATCTGCTCCCTCTCCTCCCCATGTGGCAGCAGGAGCAAAATCAAACCCAGCAGGGGAAGAAACTTTTCAGGGGCCCAGGAAGGAATCAAGCACTGAATTCCCAGAGATCCCACTGGGCTGTGAGTGCCCAACTAGAAATCTCCCTAAAATCTTCAGGTTGAGCAACTGGATCCAGGGGATGCAACTACTGGAGAGATCTGTCCCTCTTCCTGCCCAGGAGATCCAAGAGCTCTCAAGCAGCAGCAAGGCCTCAACATACCAGCATGGGCAGGGGAAGCTACCCCCACATGCCAATAGACAGCAAGTCATGCAGTGCGGGGCCCATTCCCTACCTATGTGCTAGGAAGCACACAGAGCTCCCTGCCCACCTAAGCTGAGCCACCCAAGCCCCCTGAGTTAATGTACCAAGGTGATTGATATCCCTGCACCCCTAAAAACAGGCCCTTCCCACTGAATCCACAGCAAACCAATGTGCAGGGCTGACACCCCCAGGAACATGGCTAACAGGGAGTCATGTTAATCCAGTGTGTCCAGAGATTTGCTTACTCAGCAGGCAGCTTGGACATGCCCCAACTTCCTCTCAAACCAGAAATGGGGGAGAAGATTCCATCACTTGATCTGATCCTTTCTGGGATAGAAATGATGAAACGGCAATAGCCTGCCATCCAGATTGGTTTAGACAAGCGACACATGGAAATTCAGTCATGGGTGTGAAAGGGCAAATGGGTGAGGCTGTGGTGGAGATTCTGAATGAGATGGCAAAATTAAGGGGATAAAAGCCAAGACCAGTGTATGCATGTGTTGCTCAGGCCTTGCTGCCAATGTCACAGGTATTTGAGGCCTAGACTAGATTCATTCAGCTGTTAGACCTGGCAGCAAAGGTGCAAGAGGGCCCTATTTAGAATAACCTTCCCAGCTCCTGGGAATTTTTTTTCAGCTCATCCAGCTGGCTGCATGCTGGCACTGGGCACTGGTGACTGGGGGTGCCCTCCCAGCATGCCGGAAAATTTGTCCTTTATTTAGGCAGCTAACTGGGAGCTGAGCATGTTGGAAGTCCAGCACCTTTGGACAGTGGTGGCTGGAGCAAGGGACAGCCAATCTTCTATTTAGATTTAGCTCATCTTCAGGGTTTGAATTACAGAGGAGCTTGGAGGGCCTAAGCCCCCTCATAAGAGATGGGACCCCCTCCCCCGCCCACAGGCCAGTCAACATCCCTTCTCCCCCTCCGCCCCCCTGCAAAAGCCCAAAGCTCATGTGTCACAGCACACAGCCCCCAGCCCATCCCATGCCTCTCTAAGCAGCCCAGGCGGTGGTGGCGGCAGCTCCTTCTGGCT